GTTCAAGATTCAAGGCCAGCCAAAGCAGCAAAGTCCTCCAGACTATATCTACAAAATAACCAGAAAAAAAAAAATCCAGTCTGGAAGTGTGAGGGTCTGAATTCAAATCTCAGTACCAGCAAGATAAAAATTACTTGATATAGGGATTTTGTACCATGACATCTAGACAAAAAAAAAATGAGTACAGGACAAGTCACAGGGTTAGGAAAAGTTAATGGGAAAAAGATGAAGAAAATTACTGCCAGTGTGTCACTACTGTCTAGTGTGAGCTAGAGAGCAGGTCAAGGTTAATGAGCATCTGTAGCTGGGAATAGCTCCATCTCCACAGACAAAGGGAGGACCTTCAGAATGCCTGAGAGCCCATAAATAACGAAGTGCAGTTGAAGAAAAGAAGAAAGAACAAAGGAGGTTTCCCCGGGGAAATGGTGTGGCCGTGATGGAGGGCCACTTCTTCAACCTCCTGAACACGGCAGCGCCACCACAGAGACTGTCCATAGTGTGAGAGAATGAAAGATCCATTGAGTCACCACAAGGCCTTCTGGGAGCAGGTTCTAGAAATTGTTGACAAACTCAGGATTTTATTTTATTTTGTACTGGTCCTGAGGCTTACACTGAGCTTTTTTTTGTAGCACTCTACCACTTGAGCCATAGCTCCATTTCTGTGTGTGTGTGATTAATTATAGGTAAAGAGTCTTCTGTCCAGGCTGGCCTTGAACTGTGATCCTCAGATCCTAGCCTCCTGAGTAGCTAGGATTCCGGGCATGAGCCACCGGCGCCAGGGGACTTTTCTAACACTTTGTTTCTGTCATTTTTCTGTATGAGGAATAGATGGACAGGTTCTGGGGCACATGGACTGAAGACTTGATCCTGACGAATATAACGCCTTACTTGTTGCACCGGCTTCTCATAAAATAAAAAAGTAGCATTCTTTGCGTGATAAATAATGTATTTATCATTTGAAATAGTAAACATGCACATAAGCAAAAAGAAGAAAATAAAAATCAGCCATAATCTAAATCATCGGGAATTCTGTTGGGATTTCATCTTTTAGTTGAAAATATTCTAATAAACAACATTGCAAAGTAAATGCTAAAGTTGGTTCCCTCCCTCCTCCCTCCCTCCTCTCTCCCTCCTCTCTCCCTCCTCTCTCCCTCTCTCTCCCTCTCTCTCCTCTCCCTTTCTCCCCTCTCCCTCTCTCCCTCCCTCCTTCCCTTCCTCCTTTCCCTTCCTTCTCTTCCTTCCTTCCTCTCTTCCTCTCTTTCCCTTTCTCCTTTTCTCTTTTTCTCTTTCTGTGCTGGTCCTGGGGCATCAACTCAGTGTCTGGGTACTGTTGCTGAGCTTTTTCCTCAAGGTTGATGCTTTACCACTTGAGCCATATCTACTTCTAGCATTTTGCTGGTTAATTGGCGATAAGACTCTTGACTTTTATCTGCCCTGGCTGGTTTTGAACTGCGATTCTCTCTTCTCAGCTTCCTGAGCAGTTAGGGTTACCAATGTGAGCCACCAATGCCCAGCTCACCGTACATAGGACTTATGATACAAACACACTTGCAATTCAACCTATGGCCCCTCTGGTCACATCCATGTCTGCCTTCAAGTGGTGGGGTGCACTTTCATCTTTGAGTACCCCTACACTGAACTCTCAGAGAATCTTGCTTAATAGTGTGTTCATTTGTTATGCTCAGATTGAACTTGAAAGGGGTTCTGGGAATATATGGTCAATGTCAGGGGAACTTTTGGCATGCTGCCCATGTTGATTTAGAGCCATCCTCTGAAGTCCAAATCATTTGCATTCAGATATTGGCTCCAGCACTTGATAGGTTGTACTTGTTCTATGTCCTACTTGTGCATCTGGTTTTTGGCTTTTTTTTTTTTTTGGTCTTTTCAAGCATGAAGATAGTTGCTGTTCCTAGCTCAGAATTGTACATTGCAGTGTGCTTGCAACAGTGTGTATGTATTTAGTTAGTGTTTTGTAAAGTGATGCTAGTTTGATTTTTGTGGCTTGCAACAGTGTGTATGTATGTATGTATGTGTGTATTTATTTATTTTTTGGGTCTGGTCGTGGGGCTTGAACTCTGGGCCTGGGCACTGTCCCTCAGCTCTTCAGCTCAAGGCTAGCTCTCTACTACTTGAGCCACAGCGCCACTTCCGCCTTTTTTTCTTTTTGCTTATGTGGTGCTGAGGAATCGAACCCAGGGCCTCAGGCATGCAAAGCAAGCTCTCTACCACTAAGCCACCTTCCCAGCCCCTAAGTGTGTATGTATTTAGTTAGTGCTTTGTAAAGTGGATGCTAGTTTGATTGTTGTGCCCCCCCCCCCACTGTGTGTGTGTGTGTGTGTGTGAGAGAGAGAGAGAGAGAGAGAGTGTGAGTGTGATTACTGGGGCTTGAACTCAGAGCCTCATGCCCTCACTTGGCTTTTTCACTCAAGACTGGTGCTCTAGGGGCTGAGAAGGTGGCTCAGTGGTAGAGCACTTGCCTTGTATGCCTGAGGCCCTGGGTTCGATTCCTCAGCACCACATAAGCAAAAAAAAGAAAAAAGCCGGAAGTGGCGCTGTGGCTCAAGTGGTAGAGTGCTAGCCTTGAGCTGGAGAGTTGAGGGACAGCGCCCAGGCCCAGAGTTCAGGCCCCACGACTGGACCCAAAAAAAAAAAAAACTGGTGCTCTACCACTTGAGCTCTGCTTTCACTTCTGTCTCATTGCTGGTATGTTAGAGATCAGTATCTCACAGGCTTTTCTGTCTGTGCTGGTTTTGAACCTCAATCCTTAGATCTCAGCTGCCTAACTAGCTAGGATTGCAGAAACAAACCACCAGCCCCTGACAGTCCTTTCATTCTTGTAAAAAATAGCCCTGGCACTTTTCAGTGGATGCCCTTAGGAAGCGCATTGTAGAATTGAATTGTTCTCCCCTCAAAATAAAGCGGTACTTTCTCTGCACTTAGGGTTTAGGGAGTCATTGGGTGTGGGAAGGGTGGGGAAGGTCCTCAGTAAGTCACACAGGCTGTGGTGTGTCTGTGGGCTTAATCAACAGCCTTTCCCTTTTGTTAGAATGACCCAGAGGGCAGAGTGACACTACTGCCTCAAGCTAGCTTAGATTCCTCTTCATCCGGAGGATAAATAAATTAATTATTTGTAGAATTGGCTTAGTAGGTAAAATCCTTAACAGTGATTCATAAGAGAGAGAAGGAAAGGAGGGTTTTGAATAATAAACACTGAAGAGGAAGGAGTTTGAAAGATCTTTGAACTGTTTAATGATTTGTATACCTTTGCATATTTTGAGGAAGTATGTTTAATGTTTAATATGATAAAATAGAACGAGCTGTTGGCCCCAGACTTATTTTTCAGTTTCTCCTCCAACACTGTACTTTAAAAAATTTTGAGTGTCTGAGTTAGAGGATTTTACAGTATACACCCATTAATTCAACACACAGGTGTGTGTGTGTGTGTGTGTGTGTGTGTGTGTTCGCGCGTGCGCGTGTGTGTACATGCGCACGTGCTACTGGGGATTGAAATCATGGTTGTTCAAAGTCTGGGTAAACATTGTGTGATTGAACTACATTCCCAGCCTCAACATATAGATTCTAGCATTGAAACATTTTTCTGCTAGGTGTGTTGATGTATGTCTGTACTTATTTGTGAGGCACTGTGCTACGAGGCTTATGATTTGGAGGCCAAACATAGAAAGATCCTGTTTTAAAAGCCCAAAACAAAACCAAAATAGTGTGAAATACATATATATATATATATGTATATATCTGTATAAATATATATATATGTGTGTATTTATGCAGAGATTTATTACCTTCTAGATGTCATATAGTATATCTTGTTATACATTATATAACTAATATATAATGCATAACATATTGTACTATATATATATATATATATATATATATATGCTTTTGCATAGCTCATTGGTCAGGAAATTGTCCATTCATTTGACATATTTGCCTGGGTTTCTTCTGTTATTGATTGTTGTGGGGTAGAAGTCAATTCTTGAGTGGGTCATGTGCACATGCATACAATCAGTATTTTCTAAAGAGTTGTGGAGTAGGAATTGCCTTTAAAGACTTCACTTTTTTTTTTTTAAAGCAAGGTTCTGGAGATTCAAGCCTGTGAGCTACTTAGGAGACTGAGATCTGATCAAAGTTTAAAGCCAGCCTAGGTAAAAAAGTCTGTGAGACTTATCTCTAATTAGCCATAAAAAGCCAGAAATGGAGCTGTGGCTCAAGTGGTGGAGTGCCAGCCTTGACTGAAAAATCTTAGGGACAGTACCCAGGCCCCAAGTGTTTTCCCTAGTACTGGAATTTTTTTTTTTCTTGATGAAGAGTGTTTTCTATTGAAAGCAGTCGTTAATTTCCAAGGTGTTAGGGGGCTTCAAAAAGTTTCAAAACTTAAGGGCCGAGGTATAGCTTAGTGGTAGCGCATAACTGGGTATATGTGAAGGAGGCCCTGGGTTCAAGTCCAGAAAATTCCCCCCCCCCAAAAAAAACCCACTAAAGCAAGAATAACAGCAATAATAAAAGGAGGAAAGAAAAAAAAAAGAAAAACCAAGATGGCACAAGTAGGAGAAACTATCTCATAGAAAGAATTTGTTGGGAAATAAATAAATAATGGCTCATCAAGTTAGTTGGCTTTTACTTTCACTTCCTAAGTGGTGTTAGCTAAGCTGTGAGTGTTTCCAGTAAATGGCAACGTTTGTTTGACCAGCCAAACAACTAAATAAAAGTTCTGTAGAATACCCTGGAAGGTTGAAAGTTAAAGCATGCAATAACACCCAGAGTCCTAGCTTATATCCACTTCATTTCCTGAATTTTCTGAGGTAGCTTTCCTCTCTCAGCTAGTGTGGAAAGGCAGGGGTGCCTTTGGACCTCCGCCAGCAGCTCCCGAATAGGTCATAGGGCAAAATGCTGGTTATGATTCAAAAAGAAGGCGTAGTTATTTTGTTCTTCACAAACTAAGGAAACACTTACCAGAAAAGCAATCCTTGTTTGGGCAGGCTGTCTTTGGTTGCTGTTGTTTTTCTGTTTTCCAGAACAGAGCTGCAGAATTGCTAATGGCCACTTGCCTTGTTTTCACTTTCAGTTCATTTCTTTGGCTGAGATGGACTTGAGCTAACCTCCATTGCATCTGAGGATGGCCTCTGCTCCTGAGATTCCCACGGAGGAGCAGGTTTCCCTGGGCATCGATGACCTCCAGATTTCTCTGCAAGGTAATTTCAGTCTGAGGTCACACCCAGAGACTGGGGCACACTTATACCCTCTCCTCACAAAGTTCTGTTGGTTTCTGTCTCTCTGATGGTCTGTAAAATATGTGTGCATTTTTCTAAGTGTAGAAATCTTTCAGTGCACAGTTCATAAATGTCTTTATTGTTCACTTCTCTAGGAAAGGAAGGAATCCTGGAAGGAATTTGGTATTTCTTGTTTCTTGCTATGAATACCTATGTTTTATGGGCATTGAAAATTAATTGACTATACTTTGGTTGGCATTGTTTCCAGTTACTTTTTATCTTGTATTAATTGTTATTATTATTATTATTTTGTTGGTCATGTGGCCTGAACTCTGGGCCTGGGCGCTGTCCCTCAGCTCTTCAGCTCAAGGCTAGCACTCTACCACTTGAGCCACAGCTCACTTTCAGCCTTTTCTGCTTATGTGGTGCTGAGGACTTGAACCCAGGACCCCATGTATGCAAGGCAAGCACTCTACCACTGAGCCAACTTCCCAGCCCATTGCATAAGTTATTTTAAATGCTTGCCTTTATGTTGCTCTAACAGTTAGAAAATGATATTTCAGAGGCATGAATTATGTGTATAGATGCAAAGGTAGTATCTGGAGTGTACACACACGTGTGTGTGTGTGTGTGTGTGGTCATATTTGTGTTGTATTTTGAAAATTTGATAGCCTGAAGCAAATCTTATGAGTTGTATAAATTTGGCTAGTATAGAGCAAGGCTATTACATTATCCTCAGAAACACATAAGAAACTATATATTTTCAACAATCAGGTTATTATTTAAAAGCCATAGATTTTTGGGCTGGGAAGGTAGCTCAGTGGTAGAACACTTGCCTTGCATGCCTGAGGCCCTGGGTTCAATTCCTCAGCACCACATAAGCAAAAAGAAGAAAGCCGGAAGTGACGCTGTGGCTCAAGTGGTAGAGCGCTAGCCTTGAGCTGAAGAGCTGAGGGACAGCGCCCAGGCCCAGAGTTTAGGTCCCACGACCAGACCCCCCCCCAAAAAAATCATAGATTTTTTTGTCATTTCTGAAAGATTCTAAGATGACATACTGATCTTTTTCTTTTTGTTGTAAATTATATTTTGAATCATTAGCTTTTTTTTCTGTGCGATTTAGATGGAAATGTATAGCTATTGGAATAGACTACCTATACCAGGTTTTTAAAAGTGAATATTATAGTGTGTGTGTGTGTGTATGTATGTATGTGTGTGCATGTGCACATGTATGCATGTGCATATGTGTATGTATGGGGCTTGAACTCAGGGCCTCATGCTCTTGGTTGGCTTTTTCACCCAAGGCTAGAGCTCTTCTACTCTGCCTTGGCTCATTTCCTTCTTTTTGCTGATTAATTGGAGATAAGAGTGTCTGTCCAGATTGTCTCTGACCTGTAGTCCTCATATCTCAGCCTTTGGAGTAACTAGGATTACAGGCATGTGTCATCAATGCCTGGCTAAATATCACAACATTGTAATTTTTATAGAGTAAGAAACATCTAAATTGTTGGGAGGTAATCCATGATGTTTCAGTAAGTTCTTTTAATGATATAAAAATTGTAAGTGATTGGAACCATACTTGCATTGTGATGAAAAGATCAGCATTCTTGTGTTTCTGTGACATTTTGGCTACCGTAGTCAGGCAAATTTGATTACTAATGCTTGCTCTGCTGCTTGGGAGTTCTTGAGTTTAGATGGGAGACTTTATCTTTTTGAGTCTTAGTTTCCTGGTTTGTGTAACACAGATGATTTCTGCAGCTCTGTTGAAAATGGCTAGTGATGCAGAACCAAGTGCTTGGCACAGATCCTGTCAATTCAGAATACTTAGTACATGTCGTCTTTTTAATATATTTATATATTTACCATGAGAATCTTTACCATCAGTCAGGGTCCAGACCTCATTGAATATTTAGGGGAACATTGTGAACCACAAGTCTTGTTCTTGCTGGTTTTTGTTTGGCCATTTCTCTTCACTGGCTTCCCACATAAATGGACTGAAGTCTCAACTCGAGGTGTGGTGCACAGACTTTTTCTCACCTGCCCTTGTGTATGCCCTCTGCTCACTCCCACATCCCGTGGGTACCATGTGCCAGCTCCACATTGCCCTAAGAGGCCATAATCCTCCCTGCCAGTGTGCTTTCATTGTAGTTGTCTCCAGTAGCTCCCCCAGACTGGTCCTGCAACACTGGAAGGAATTCAGTTCCTGTAGCTTTCATCCACCTCAAAGTTAGCCAGCCTCAGCCTCCCCCAGAAGCTTTGTCTACTTTGCTTGCTTGCTTGTTTATTTTTATTTTTTAGTGCTGATCCTGGGGTTTAAACTCTGGGCCTTATGCTCTCATTTAGCTTCTTAGATCACGGCTGGTGTTCTAACATTTGAGCCACAGCTCTATTTCCAACATTTATTTTTGGCAATAGTAGGGCTTGAACTCAGGGCCTGGGTGCTTTCCTTGAGCTCTTTTGCTCGATAGCACACTACCACTTTGGGCCACAGTGCCATTTTCAATTTTTGAGTAGTTAATTGGAGATAAGAGTCCAGGGTCTTTTCTGCCCTGGTTGGCTTTGAACCGTGATCCCCAGATCTTAGCCTCCTGAGTAGCTAGGGTTATAGGTGAGAAACTTGGGTTATTTCCAGCTTTTTTTTTGCTGGCTAATTGGAGATAAGAGTCTTAGATTTTTCTGTCCAGGCTAGGTTTGAACTGTGATCCTCAGATCTCAGCTTCCTGAATAGTTAGGATTACAGCCATTGAGCCATTGGTACCTGGTATTAGTGGACTTTTAGTCAAAGAATGAAGAACAGAGAAAGGAGAGGAGAAAAGAATGAAGGGGTCTGTATATATTTCTGAAGGGAAGATTAGTTGTTTGGGGGGAAAAACCCAACCCTGATAGATGATATTGTTTTCATTAAGGACTATTAGCTGAAGTTCTTGGCTATAGTCTGAGAATTAGGTTTTATTCACTATGTAAGCAGACTTTTATTTCCCCAAATTCTCATGTACTTACTTCTCTTTGGTGTAACACGAGAAAGGAGAGTTTATATCACAGGAAGGGCTCGAAATCATTGTTAATTTTAAGTAAGCTCTTATTTTTGTTTTAATTTCCGAATCTTTCTAAGAGGCAAATAGAGACAGAATGCCCTAATTAAATTATAAAGCTTACTTTATTTGGGCAAAAACTTCATTAGGTCTGTATCCTGACTCAGAACAGTACCCTCAAGAAAAAAAAAAGAAAGAATCTGAAATGATATGGACTGTTCCATCATTGTGAAAACAGATGCCCCAGGTGCAGAGACTGAGATAAATTAGACCTGAAAATCAGGCATGATTTGCTGAAGCCTATAGAGTAGAATAACAGGCAAGTGCCATCTTCATGGTGGGAGTGGTTCTCGAGAAAATATCTTTATGAAGGGCTGTGAGGTAATATGCCCCTGCCACAGTAGATTTTTATATTTGCTCTGTCTAGTAGGGAGAATAATGTTAGGAAGTTTGGATGGTTAGGAAAAGAAAGAAATGATTTGTGTGAATTTGAGTGTACTGATAGAAGAAAGAGAATTGAAAGTATTTTGTATTACTCTGAATGATACACCTCTCAAATAAATTTAAGATGTAGAATTCAGGCTGTGAAAAAGTGTCTCTTGTAGAATCTTTCCATTTGGGTTTCTTACTTGGCATAGGAAGAAATGGTTCTTTCCCTTTTATCCTCAGGAAATAGTAACTGTATATATTTTTGTCTGAAACAGCATTCCTTTTAAGCTTTTTATGGGGGTTGGGGGAAGGTACATCCAGGGAATAATTTTTTCAGGGACTAAGAAAACAATAAGAGGTGAAATTGGGTGTATCTCACAGAATCTTATAATGGAAAGGGAAAGGGATATTTTCTTTTCCATTTAATATCAGCTGAGAGCAAAATAGGAATCCCTTCAGAAGTGTTTTTTGTTTTGGTTGGTCGTGGGGCTTGAACTCTGGGCCTGGGCGCTGTCCCTCAGTTCTTCAGCTCAAGGCTAGCGCTCTACCACTTGAGCCACTGTGCTACTTCCAATTTTCTGAGTGGTTTACTGGAGATAAGAGTCTCATGGACTTTCCTGCCCAGGGTGGCTTTGAACCAGGATACTCAGATCTCAGCCTCCTGAGTAGCTAGGATTACAGATGTGAGCCACTGGTGCCTGGCTTAGAAGTGTTCTTGAGATAAGGATCTTTCAAGGAGTTGACTTCCAGCCCAGGAGTTGGGGATTTTTGCTCTTAGGCAGTACATAGCTGTTGGATGTTGAAAACAGGACTTATGCCGAGTGTTGTTGGATGTTGAAAACAGGACTTATGCCGAGCGCTGGTGGCTCATGCCTATAATCCTAGCTACTCAAGAGGCTGAGACCTGAGGATCGAGGTTCAAAGCCACCCTGGGCAGGAAAGTCCGTGAGACTCGTACCTCCAATAAACCACTCAGAAAACCTTAAGTGGCACTGTGGCTCCAATGGTAGAGTGCTCACCTTGAGCTGAAGAGATGAGAGACAGCGCTTAGGCCCAGAGTTCAAGCCCCATGACAGACCAAAAAAAAAAAGAAAACAGTAATTATGTGTGGAGGAGAAGGGTGAGAAAGAGATCCTAAAATATTATTTTTGTCAATGTGCTTCAATTAAACTATTTACAAACAAACTTTGAGAAGTTTCTATCCTCTGGAAAATGAAAAGCATGACAGGTAGACAGAAATCCATTTTGAAAATGAGTTAGATTGGCCATGAAGGTTGACCCATTGTGAAAATTTTGGTTTGCGTGCTAGATATTAATTAATCAGTGAGACAGAGTTTTAAAACTACAGCCTATACTGGCCTGGAACTCACTATGTATCCCAGTCTGGCCTTGAATTTAAGATTTTCTGCCTCTGCCTCCTAAGTGCTGGGATTATAGACATGAGCCACCGTGCCCAGGTTAGTACTAGCCCTCCGGTATGCTAAACACAAGCTCTGCCACTGAGCTACCTCCCAGTCCCTCATC